TTTTTGATGGATATGTAAATCCAAAAACTACATTAAAACAATTTGTTGAACAATATGACAATGCCTTGAGAAATAAGGTAGAGAAAGAGAAGAAAGCAGACTTCAAGTCTCGACACAAATTGTTTGATTGCCTAACTATATATGGTTTTGAGAAGCACTTTCAGCAAGCCTACACTAATGCGAAATTCAAAGAAGTTCAAGGAGAGTTGAAGAGATCAGTTTACTGTCAGGCGGTGATTGTGAAAGAGGAGGGATCAATTTGTACATATAATGTCCAAGAAGCGATGGTAGTTTGTGAGAAGATGAAGCATGTGGACTTTGTTGTCTATTTTAATTCAACTGAATGTGAAGTTCAATGCATTTGTCGGTTGTTTGAGTTTAGAGGCATTATGTGTGCTCACTCACTCGCTGTGCTTGTCAGAAGATGCATAAATGAGGTGCCAAGTAAATACATTTTGCCCCGGTGGAGAAAAGATGTGGATAGAGAATACGCATGCATCAAAACAACATACACCGGCTTTGGGAATGATTTCAATGCAAGTACCTATGAGAGGATGAACAAAAAATTGATTGCCATTGTACAACTTGTTGGTAACTCTGAAGGCAAAACTAGAATTTTAGACCTCGGGTTGGATGAAATCAAGGAGAGAGTAATGAAAGAAGAATCCGGTGATGGGAGTAATTTACCATGTTCAACAAAAAGTCCGATTCACACCGGTTCTACACAAGGACGTACTAGTAGGAAGGTGATTAGTCCTTTGGTTGCTCGGCGAAGAGGTCGTCCAGTTACGAAACGGAAGGTTGCCAAAGTAGATCAAATTGTTAATCGGTTCAAGGCAACGGCAAAAAAACAAACAAAAGCAAAGGTAAAATGTCTATTCAATTTTATTTTTTTTTATAAACTCTATTCAAGTATGTAAAAGCAATTCAGAAATTTCAATCTTTAATTATTCTTCAAAACATACAGGCTGCTAAGTTGCTTCGATTTGAAGCTCAAGCTCAAGCTCAAGCTCAAGCATATACACCGTATTATCCTTATATGGTTGGCACAGAAAATAGTATGTATATACCGGTACGTGTTCCAAAGAGGCCTTCATGTACTTTTACAAAGTGTATTCCAAAAAGGACTTCATGTACTTTTACAAAGTGTATTATTCTAACATGTACTTTTTGCAATGAATTGTCACAGGTGGCCCATGGTATTGGAGGCACGTCTCTTACTCCATTGGACTTCATAAGTGGCACACAGGGAAGTTTGATGAGTGCTCCAACTCAGATTTGTGGTTCTGCATCTCTAACCCCATCAGCTTCTCATGCATGCACACCAGGAAGCTTGGATATTACAGACTTGTTTGACTAGTTTCTATGTATTCGAACTGTTTGTTTTTGAGGTTGGAAAGTATGTAGTGTATTAATCTGAGTTTCAAACTTTGTTTTTGAGATTGTAGTTTATGTTACATGTGGATTTGTAAAACATGTGGTGTACTAATTATTAATGAAGTTATGTGATTATTATTATTTGTTATGCAATGAAGATGTTCCAATATTTAGTAATGAACAATGTTTATTTAGCAGTTATTTGTATTGAACAATGTTTATTGAATAGTTTTCATGTATTCAACCATGTGTATTCAAGAGTTTTCCTGTGATGAACAATGTATATTAAATAGTTTCGCTATATTCAATAGTTTACCTGTATTCAACAATAGTTACCTTGCATTCAACAGTTTCCTGTATTTAACAAAGTCGATTCAATGAGTATTGAAGAAAGCATATAAGTTTGAACAAGTCATTTTTCATTCCATTCACCACAAAAGAGGTACAATAATTAGGTTTCAATACACAACAAAACATAACTTCCTCGAAAACATCACAAAAGTATTCAGTCTACTTGAACTTGTACATTGACATCTACTTCTACTTCTAACTTACATATATGTATATATATGTTATTACATATTCATAACTTTAAAGACACCAATTACAAGCAACACGGACAATATACATATCAACTTTTACATCTTTGCGTTCTGAATTCGAAGTTGTTCCGTCATCTCTATTTGTTGTTCGGTCATAGCTCGAAGTTGTTCGGTCATAACTTGTTCACCGACAATTGGCACTTCGTCTCTTGGAATTTGATGACCTCTATGTTCTGGATTCGTAGGTAAACACCATCCGATAAAACCACAATTATTACAGGAGTAGAATAACTTGTTTTTGTTTCGATCGGTTTGTGATATTAAAATGGTGGCCTTTTTATGACATGTACCACAATTTCTGTTGACGTATGTCAACCAATCTGAGCTATTGCCACTGACACTTGAACTTGACATCTGCAAAAACCGACAAATATTAACATGATAGCACTTGTATATATTCATTATGAAGCACATTAAAAATACAAGTTTCTCAGTCTACAAAAAAGCTGTTACAAGCTTTATGACAGCCCTTGGAGGTGATTCTGCAAATCAGCTTATTTACCCTCCAAAAAAGCTGTTATAAGTTGTAGTTAGTGTCATAAAGCTGTAACAAACAGTTAGATTCTGTAACAAAGCTGTTATTTTTTAACTTCATTCAATCATTGGATGATACTAGCACTCATTCAGATAGAAGTGTTATTTCTCAGTCTACATAGACCAACTGTCATGACACTAGCCCCTCAAGCAGTGACTTAGTTGAGGATGGGGATTTCAGCCATTTTTTAGACAGGGTGTTCATAAAAATGATCAAGTAAAACCTGTAAAACCTGTTTCATAAAAAATCTGGACAGGTTTTAAGTAAATCTGGACCTGTAAACCTGTTTCATAAAAAATATGGACAAGTTTCAAGTAAAATCTGGACCTGTGAAACCTGTTTCATAAAAAATCTGGACAAGGGACAGGGACAGGAGGGTGTTCATAAAAAATCTGGACAGGTTTGAAGACTAAATTATGTTTCATAAACCTGTTTCATAAACATAAAGCTGTGTGGTTATGAAAGCTGTTTCATAAACATTAGTCTTCAAACCTGTTCATAATTTCATAAACCTGTCTATCCAAGATTATAAAAACCAAGATTATGTTTCATAATCTTGGATCCATCCTGTTATGTTTCATAGATACAGGTTTATGAAATTCTGAACAGGTTTATGAAATTATGAACAAGTGTCCAAGATTGGGATAGACAAGTTTATGAAATTATGTCTATCCTGTCATAATCTTGGATAGATAGGTTTCCAAGATTATGGTTCATAGATACAGGTTTCATACATTATGAACAGGTTTCATAAATTATGAACAGGCTTATTCCAAATTCAAGTTCAGCTTATTGGGATTTATTCCAAATTATGAACAGGCTTTTAGTAATAAGTTCAGCTTATGAATCCCATACATTAGTAATAAGTTCAACTTACTAAAACAGCTTTTGATTTATTCTAAAAATACATTAGTAATAAATTCTGAATAAGCTGAACTAATTCTGAACATGATTTATTCAGCTTATTGGGATCTATAAATCCCAATTATCTAAACCACTTATTACTAATGTATTTTGTAATCCAAATTCAGCTTATGAACAGGTAACCTGCGTAAATCACAGATATAAATCATTGTCATAAAGCTGGTTTATAAATCACAGTTCGGTCATTTTGAGAACTTGGATTTGAAGGCACACTATGGGTTGCATTTAACTTTCTATTTGATTTGGGTGTATTGGAAACTAGAAGAAGAGATGGGTTTTCATTGTCATGGGAGGCAGTAGTTTCCTATATAGGAGTTCTACTACTTATCACTTGTTTCCATAAATCATTTCAAATTACTGGAAGAACATTAGTTGAGAAAGAGAGTTCTACTAGTTGAGAAAGGGAGTTCTATCTGCTTTCATTTTTTTACAACAGTCATTTCAAAATTCTTGTTATGAAGTAAATTCTTCAAAACATACGAATAAAGTCACTTGCTTATAAGACCAGACCAGAATTCTTCATAACAAGAATTCTTCATACAAATAAAGTCACTTGCTTACAACAGTCATTTCAAAATCACTTGCTTCAAAACATACAAGTAAATTCTTCAAAACATACAAATAAAACAACAAGACCAGAAAAACTTGTTATGAAGTAAATTCTTCAACAAATAATTATTACATCAAACACATATAAGCAAATCCCAAAATAGAAATTCACATATAAGCACATATAAGCACATACAAGCAATTCCCAAAATGGACTGAAAATTGGACTGAAATGAACTGAAAATCATTATGAATGGGACACATTGTATATAATTAGACTAAAAATCATTATGAAAATTGGACTGAAAATCATTATGAAACATTGTATATAATTAGAGTCACTTGCTTACTACTACTTAGAGGAAAAAACAGGAACAAACAGGAACCATTGAAGAATTTTGCAGGAACCATTCTTCAATTGGATAAGAAGGAAAATCACTTGCTTACTACTTAGAGGCTGGCAAAGTTTATTTTTTGCAGCCCCAAAAATTGGATAAGAAGCTTTTTCAGGTCTTCAGAATGTAAACATTTCATTGAGGCATTTCATCGAGCAGGTTTATTGCAAGCTAAAACTGCAAATGAAAAGGTCAAATTCAAAAGGCCACAATTCCCAAATCAAAAGGCTAAATTCAACTCCCAAATCAAAATGCCAAACTTTAATCTTTCAATTCGTTTATCAGATTGTCAAAAACAGTAAATCCAAACATTCAACCCAATTATACACAGATATAAATGCAGATACATATATATATATATACAGATAGATGTATATATATATATATTTATCGGATGATAGGGATAGGGGAGGGAAGAGAAACAAAGAGAGTGGAGGGCTTCGGAGTGAAGGGAATTTACCTCTTAATCGTCGGATGACAGGGAAAGAGAGACAGAGAGAGTCCGAATCCGGCGTCGGAGTGAAGGGAAGGAGCTGTCGCCGGCGTCGGGAGTGAAGGGAACTACCTGCTAGTCCAGCCGTCTCAACCATCAAAGCGGAACGAAGAGAGAGATAAGTGTTTGAGGGGAGATTATTTTCAAATGTGAGACCGTTGATAATCACGTGAACATCGCGTGAGTTTGCCACGTAAACTGGGGGTCACTGGGGGTCGGAACAAACTGGGGGTCGCAAGCATTTTTGTAATATATTTTATTAAGAAATCTCATAAATATTTTGATAAATATTGTTTTATTTATAATTTTCTATTATATTTATTGATTGCAAATACTAAATAGATAATGTCTAGTAATATTTCAAAAGCAATCAATAATTATTTTATATAAAGTATACAACTAAGTTTTATTATTGAGTAATGTATCATCTTTGTTTGGAGTGTATTATATAAGTAAACTTTTTATCTTTTCATCTTTTTTGGGTTATATCATTTTTCTATTTTCTGTACATTTTTTTAAAAAAAAAAGTGAAAAAATCACTTATTTAAATCATTCCAAAAATCCTTACCCATTAAACCGTAATATATATGTGGCTTTAGAATGTAATACTATGAAATTATAAATTCCCAAATGAGGATGTGACAAAATCATTTGGCTGAGTTGTAAGTTGTAAGTCACACAGTATTGGAGTGTGACCTAATGATCTAGTAATTACACTTAGGGTGTAGTGAGTGGAATTCGGTATCCTCGGCCGCCCTACCCGGCGGCCCTACCGGCAGCCCCCCAAAACGACGTCGTTTGGGGGGTTTTTTTTTTTTTTTTTTTTTCTTTTTTTCTTCTGCTTCGTTCTTTCCTTCTTCTCCATTTTTTTCCGACGAGCTGCCATAACCAGAGGGGAGGGAGGGAGGAGGCTGCGCGTCACAGCCCGTCGCCTCGCCGCCGGCCGTCGCAGCGTCTCCGCCTCCGCCTCGTCCGCTCGCCGCCGGCGCGTCGCAGCAGCTACACCCGCCGTCGCCTCCGCCTCCGCCTCCGCCTCCTCCTCCTCCCCCACTGGTTATGGCCCCCTCCAGTCCGGCCCTTCCTTCCTCCTCCTCCTCCTCCTCCTCCTTCTCCCTCCCTCTTCCTCTCCTTCTCCCTCTCTTCCTCTGCGTTTTTTTTTTTTTTGAAAATTTACCCCCAAAACAACGTCGTTTTGGGGGCTGCCGGAAACGGCCGCCGGGTAGGGCGGCCGAGAATCCGGACTCGTAGTGAGTGAGAGATAGGAGATTCAAATTAATGAAACGGTGACGAACTATTCAATTATAATACTATACTAACATATTAACTCTATCTTTGATCCTCTAAAAAAAAGTCACAAGATGTTCTTTAATTACAAAAATATCATTGATATTATTTTCATAAAAAAAACTTAAAAAAAAAAAAAAATCATTTATAAAGAACAATTCCTATTGCCAATTTAAAGAAGAAAAAAAAAGG